CTTTTTGGTTAGCCGTTTTGTAAAACCTGTTTTATAGTGCAAACCTTCAATTAGTTTGGCGCAGATGGCCTCGTAGCTATTGCGCCATAAACCCCCAAAATCTCTCTCTCCTGCTCTCTGCTTATCAATGTTCGCTTACATACAGTGGTCGTGAGAGCAATAACTGATGGACTGAAGACAGAAAGAAAATAAACAAAAGAAAGCCTAGACGTTTCGCCATAGGAGGGTCAAATGTACTATCGAGGAAAAATGAAATGCGAACAGAGGAGCGCGTGGCTCGCGGTACAGGCTGCGCCGCCTGGAAGTGAGCCTAGGGGCGAGGGTGCATGGTCGGCATGGTCTACTCCAATGTTTTCACCCCCTTCCCCACTGAAAGCTGTCACCGCTATCTTTGCACCGCTGAGCCAGCAAAGATAGCGGTGATAGCTTTCAGCGTACTAAGAGATGCACTGCCGAAGCTTGGGGAGCGCCGAGCGAGGGGCGTGAACACATCGGAGTAAGACACGCACCCTCACCCCTAGGCTCACTTCCAGGCGGCGCAGCCTGTACCGCGAGCCACGCGTTTCTCTGTTCGCATTTCATTTTTCCCCGATAGTACAACAACCACAACAGTTTTTTTCTGTCTACATGTTTTTTTTCTTGACACTCAAGTCTGCACTGTTGTCGTAGGTTGTTTCCCGGTCTGCGTTGCGCCTCAGTGTGGCAATCCTAACTTCCATAAAACCACCCTTTTTGTTTGAGGATTTTTAGGGGGAAACTCTAGGAAACAAAAGGCGCATTTGGGAACGTGAGGGGAAAACCTATATTGTACGAACTTTGGGCTGAAATTTGAGTCACAATCGGAAAAAAGCCATGTTTTAAAGTCACCGTAGCTGATAAAAGCTAGCAACAGGACTTGGTTGCTCGAAAGAATGTTCACGTTTTCTCGTGCGATGCCCACGCCACTTCACACCGAAAAACTCGGAAAATGGCGGAATGTCAAAAATTTATTTAAAATAATGAGTACAAGATACTCAGAAATGTAATTAAGATAGAGTATCAAATACTCTCGAGCAAAAGTATTTGCAAGATACCAAGATACTGTATTCTCTACTCATACTCTACTCAAGATACTGTATTTAAAATACAGTATCTTGAGTAGAGTATTTTAGATATGCACAAGTCTAGTTCAATCGCCACCCATTCCCGATTAGTTCTGGACAAGGACCGTACCGGCGTGCGGTCGTGTATCACTACTGCGTGGTGCACATGAAAGACCCCATGGGCTAGCAGTCGTACTGCACTGGCTAAATTGCTTATCTAGAGGGGGTGACAATGTCGCCATGTTCGGGCATGTTCTCCTGCTGTATAAACAACTAATTCTTTTTCGTGTGCTGGTTGAACAGCTTCTTCCTTTAACATGTCGTGGAGCGATTTGGAGGGCATTTTCCTCCAATTCCGGGAGCCAGAACCGTACACATACAGGTCTAGTGGGGGGCTCCTGAATCTCGCCAAAATAAACGACCTGACTTTTCGGCGAATGTTCCGCCTTAAGAAGGACGATTTTAGACTCCTCAATGATGCCCTACTGATGCCAGAGGTGGTGTGCAGCAGCCAGGGGGTTGTTAGCGAGGAGGAGGCCCTCCTTATGTGCCTACGCCGACTTGCCTACCCAAGCTGCTGGTGGGATTTGAAGCCTATCTTCGGCCGTCATTCGTCGGCAATGTCGAGCATTGTCGGTGAGGTGCCCACGCACAGAGATGGCACCTTTGGGCACTTGCTGGACGACCTGACCACCCACAGCTGGCTGAGCTTGGGCGACTTGGTATGCTTCGCAAGAGTAAGTCCTCTCGTTAACAGAGCGGCATTTTTAAACCACTAAACTTGAGAAAAACGCACGCAGCATTTTACGGCAGTCCAAAAAAAAAAAAATTGGGTATGTTTTTAACTTTCGGTGTCCTATCAAAACGCGTCTTCGCGCCAGCAGTCCTCTTCCCTGTGGTCAAAGTGCGCGACTATTGGCGGCGTGCGCGAGCTACAGGGGGCGCTTCTCTAGCTATCATTATCATCGTTTGCGACGTCACCAGAAGGGTAAACTGGGACAACCCACGCAGATTTTGGATCCCTCAGCTCATCAGATCGCTTTATGGGTAACGCGCGGCGAAGCCTGTTTCACGGGTTGTGTTCATTTGCTGAAGTGATTTGTAGTAGGACATTTTACCAGAGCTTGAAATCGTGAAACGCATGGTCCTGCTAACAAACACTTTTGGCGCTGAGGTGTTGAAGCACTGGGATGGTGGTGTGCTGTTCTCTACCACAGTAAGAAAAGCTGGATGATGAAAATATAATATCCAGCGCTTTACCCCATTACAAGATCTACCATGGCGAATAGGGTCTACATTTTATTATATTTCGGACAAAATAAAACTGAGAAAGTAATATCTGATCAAATTGAAATTGGAAAGCGAACTTCGAGAACCTCTTGCATCCTCTCACGGAAATAAACACTTCATTGAAAGCGATTCCGTGTATCCTGTTGGCTTCAGTGTTTTCTGTTAGCGATGGTCTCTTGTTAGTTCCAAGTTGATTTCATTTCAAATTTAGTATACCAGTAAACAAATATTTCCTCGAAATAATTGCAGGAAGAAGCGGTGACTGGCTTCCGGAGTCGTTTCAATTAAATCCCTGGTTATTAACCCGGTCGATGCGAAACATGTGAGACCCCATCGCGATCGAAGTCTTAAATTTGGTAAGTCGGTGACATATCAGCGTTAAAAAAGAGAAAGAACACCTTTAAGTTACTATTGTTTGTATGTTTAATTTTGCGGGCCCAAATGCGCATAATGCGAGGTGCGCTTCTCAATGAGTAATTTTAAATTTGTAAACAATTCTTAGTAACAATTGTATAGAGAAAATTAATAAATCATCTTAATTTGCCACACCATGTTCGACAATTCCAGAATTTATGAAAATGTATGCTTTTCTTTGAAGCAGAAGTCGCGATGTGACAAACTTATTTGCCACGTATTCGATGCGGGAGGAGCTGAGCGTCAGTGGCTGACGAGCATTTTCTCGTCAGAAACTGTCGATTTACACTTGAATAGAAGCGTCGGTATTGGCAAGTTCAATGTAGCTAAAACAAATGTGCGGGGCTGCAACACAACTGTGCCCGCGTGCACAGCTAAGACAGCACGTCATTAACTCTGGTGAATGCAAAACCTTTTTTTGCAGCAGCCTCCTTAGATCCGAAAAAAAAAAAAAGAAATACCAGAGAGGCTGTGAATACCACTGACGCACGGCGTAAAAGCTGTAATGTGAAAATTCTCTCTTGTTTTTTACTATTTAGAAGTTTATTTTTAAATATAAAAAGCAACTTCGTGGTGCTGTTATTCATAAGAAAGATCACTCACAAAAACGTTGTACCTGTTCTTTTAATAAAAATACAGTTTTTATTCGGCATAGATGCAAACTAACTAGCCACTCCGTGCTTTGACATTGCGCGTCGTCTGCTCGCATCCTAGCAGCTCCGTCACAGGAGGGCACCCATGAGGTGGCGCCACCTAAACATCTCGTTGCCCAATCGCCTCGCCTCGCTCGTAGAAGAAAGCGTACTGCACGTGGCCAAATTACGCGCGGTAGTTGAGTAATTTTCCCACGAGGAACAGGACCACCGGCGCAAAGATGCGTTCAGATAGAAAACCGAAACCTAAGAATGCGTCCAAATTTCTCTTTTTTTGGGGGGGGGGGGGGGTGTGGGGATGCTGAGATGCCGTGCGTGCCTTATATTTTTGTAAGGTGCACTGGCTTAATGTTTTTATACCTAAAGGTACCAATGTTTTCTGATTAAAGATAGTTACCCAAAAGTAATTAAGAACATAATTACGACACAGTTTATTAATCTTTATTCATATTCCTAAAAAAACACTTTGATAGCGACCAATATGATAACATTTTCTCTGAGCGATAAATACCCTTTGCTGGAGTGATTTGGCCAGCGTTTCGTAAAACGCCCCGCAATAATCAAAGCTCGCAGCATCACATAAATATGCTTGTCATTACTGGTGTTTGCTAACCTAGCCAGAAGGAGCTTTAAGCCGCCCCCCCCCCCATATCTGGTCAACCATGTACTATGCACATGCATTTTGATTCCCCTCCCCTCTTTAAACAACAAGTCATATAAACATCTCAGCCCCCCCCCCCCTCCGCCCCCAAGCAAATTCTTGCCTACTGTTGTTATTTCCAGTTAAGGAGGTCAAATATGTTACCCAGAACTGTTGAACAGAACTAATTTAGAAAAATTTACAGCTTAAAGAGAGATCTGTATTTAGTTATTGATTTTATTTCATGAAACACTTTTATACAAAAAAAACAAAAAAACTTCCTGTGCATGGGAGAAAGTAAATTGAAAAGATCTTACTATATGGTCGTTATTCTATTGATGTTAATAAATATGCTCCATATGCACACTTCGGCAACACAACTGTAGTCGGTGACAGGTCAAGAACGAAATGGAAGCTCCTCCCACCCCTTTCCACTTTAGCAGAGCAATTGCCAAAGAGGAGCCGACCTCTTCTCCACCATTCTCTCTGCTAATGTGGAACGAGGTGGGAGGAACTTCCACTTCGTTTTTGACCTGTAACCGACGATAGAACGAAACAACAAATTTATTAAGCCGTACACCCTTCAACGCGGGTTCTTTTAGAAACTTCTTTGTTAAATGTATTGACGAATGGAACTGCCTACCTTGGAAGCTGTGAATAGTGAAAATGTGCGTGGTTTTCTTGATAACGTTTTTAATACTTAAGTATACCTGTATATGAAATATAAAAGCAAGACACTTGATCAAAGCAGATCATGTTTGAGCCACCATGAAGGTCTCGTTAAGACTGCACCATTATTGCAGGCCGTTCATGCCCGAGGTGCCCCCTGCCCAACTGCTGGCGTTTCGTGAACGGGACAGCCAGGCCCATGTGCTGCCCTTCCACCAACCAGCGGATCTACTTTTCGGGGCACAGGAGGCTGGACGCATTGAAGTACCAGTCCATAATGTGTGCAAACTGCATCATCTGCCAACTTGACTGTCCCTATCCGGGACACAGGCATGATGCTGGTGGGTGCAGCTGTTCTGGACCTGCATGCTTCCATGTTTGATATTGACTCTTACCATTAATCAGCATTTCAACTCTAGCAACACTGTATAATCAGTCTTGCAACAGAGATATAGCGTCAAATCACAGAGGAAATCATGTGTTCAATACAGTTATTAATGCAAGTCTCTCAAATGACTTAGTCCAGTCGCTGTGCTTGAAATAACAAGCCTTGAGATGCTGTTTTGTTTTTCACTTTTTGTTAAAGGGACACTCAAGCGGTTTTTGGAGAAGCTACTTTTTGGTGCGATGGCGTTAAGGAAGTGTCAGTGAATGAGTATCTTCAGTTTTAGAAGGCAGAAACGCCTATTAATCACGCAGGAATAAAAGACGTGCAGACTCTTTTCTGTACTTGCGAGGACCAATGAAATTATCGTATGTTTGAAAATTTTGGCGGTCTTTTTAAAGTTTCGCTAAAAAAACAATTTTCAGTTCATTTAAATATGTTGTGCATGATAATTTCACAAGACGTTAAATATTTCTAGTTTAGAATACGCGATAGCGCAATTATCGTTTCACAAACAAGGGACTACGTTTTCTATTTTCCTTCCTCCACGGGGGGTGAATTTCCCGTTCCCTCGGGATGCGCGGAAGCGCACGCATCTCCGCGCGTTGCAGGCCGGTCGTGCCGGTCACGGGCGGGCAGGCTCCTTCTATCCGCAAACGTGGCGTCGGTGGTGATCGTCGGAATGGACGGCCTCGTGAAAGCTCATCGTTCCGCGTAAAAGCGCTATCCTTGACTGTGAATTTTCGTCGTGTTTTGCTATGATAACCCAGCACGTACTAGAAGGGAACATCCACCTACTCGTGCGGCGATGTCGTGGCGGCACTCTCAAGATGGCAGAAACGCCCGTGCCGTCGTGTTTGTTTACTTCGACCAGTGGTGCTTTCTAAACATTTGTGTCCTCGAACATCGCTTGGATTTCTGATTTGGCGCATTTCATGCGTGTGCTCAAGTTCAAGGTATTACTGGCGCGTATACCGTATAAAGGATACGAATTTTCACGCGTTTTCATCACCGGAGAAAAGTGATTAGTATTAGCAATCCTGAACGCTCGCAACGTCTATCTGATCACGAAATCATATTTCTACGTTGCTATATCGCTGCTAAGATTACATTGTCTTTTATAATCGTAGAAAAGGCATGTGGCGATATTTGTACTATTGCAATGTCGTGTATTAGAGTCGTGATCGTCCAAAACGGCGCTGCATCTTTTTATTTTATTTTTTTCATTCGCTGTACCCTGCAAGCCTATCAAGAAAAAATAATAAAGCTTTAGACTAGAAAACTGTATGTCTATATTCTGTTACGGCATTGAGTAGCAGTGCGTCCCCTTTTTTAGAGGGGCCGCTGACACAGCTGACGGCGGCGTACAGAAGCGGTCGCCGTGCTGACGACCCGCTGCGCTTGTTGTAGTGGTTACAGGTGTGTGTACGCGCGGCGCAGTGCGGTCGTTCCAGTCGCTCCGGTTGCAACGGACGCAGTCGTAGGTACGCGCTCGTTGCACATGTCTGAACCAGCCTTCCCCCCGTTCTCCCGAGGCGAAAGTCAACGTGGCGACATCGTTTGACATCACGCACCAGAGGTAACGCTGCGATGTCAAACGTTGGTTTGGTTACGACTTGCCCCAACCGCAAATCGAAGAACGCCCGAAAAGGTCTGCGTTTCGTCGTCCTCGGAACCCGAACATGACTCCGAAGCGCTGCTATCGTCCACATCGCACGTCGGAGTGGCGTCATAGGAAATCATCCCCAGGTCGGCTGTCCGCCGAAGAACTTCAACCTCTAACGGCGTCAGGTCCTCGAGCGTAGAGAACTCCGCCATGATCGAAGCTCGAATGACAAAGAGGTTCGGCCGATGCGGCTACCTCGGGATCACTGCGCGACGGAACGTCGTCCAACGCCATTGGCCCGAGATCCTTTTGATAAGCGTGCGACGACCAATGAGAGTGGTTTCGTTTTCAGATGGATCCGAGGTTTGGCGGCCTTCAATTACATTTTTATTAAAGAAATAATCACCGTATGACTATACTTTTTGGTTTTTAGGGATACTTAAGGCGTCTAAATTCAGCTGTCATTATCAAAACACGAACTCAAAAACCACTTGACTGCCCCTTTAAGCTGCAGTAACATGTTCCGATTAAACTATCTCTTCTGATTTCTGCAGCCCATTGTTTCTTCGAGGTTTGCTGCAACAATATTTACTTCTGGGATCTGAAAGAGTGTGCTGTTCTACAGAGTACAAAAAATTGTAATGCAGTATTCACACTGCATTGCAAAATGGAGTGTGCCAAATGAGCACACTGACAAATCAATACCATGCAACTTTTGTTTTTAAAACCGATCAAAAGTAAAGTGCTTGTTTCTCTGGTTTTTGCAGGCATTTTATGCGAGACTGGCCTCTACGAGAAGTTGGAAAAGCTTGTGCGGTATCTATGGCGACCCTGCATACCCAATACTGCGGCTTCTCGTGAGGTTGTACGCAGATGCCACCCTCACTCAACAGCAAGTGTTCTTCAACGGTGGCATGAGCACTGTGCGACAAGCTGTTGAGTGGGGGTTCGGCAAAATGGTATCCGAGTTCGCATTTCTAGACTTCAAGATGAATCACAAGCTGTACTTGCAAGATGTGTGGAAAATGTATTGGGGGGCAATTCTTTCTAACTGCCATACACGCCTGTACGGTAGTCAAGACTGGCATGCTCTTCGGGCTCCGTGCACCCAAATTGAGGCAATACTTGAAACCCTCTGTACGGGATGGAAACAACTTTTAAAATTCCCTTGGTACAGTGCTCAGCAAACTTATATGGAACACTCAAACTCTGTTTTATCTTATTAGTACCCCGCAGGGGGCACCTGTGAAAGCAGGTGTTTGGAGAGTGGCGTCTCCACGTACCCCGAGCCCCGCAGGGGGCACCTGCACCTTAGGTGCTAGGTGCTTGGTGAGTAGCGTCACCACGGACCCCAGCCACGTGGGCCACCATACCCGCACGCAGGGGGCACCTGCCTTGGTAGGTGCTTGGTGAGTGGCGCCACCGCGAACCCCGAGCTATGTGGGTTTACCCACCCACGCCTGGCTGTGCGTGGCTTAACCCGTGTCCGGGGAAAAGGGGACCCTGGTGGTTGAGCTGAGCCCGGGGTATGTTTGGACCCTTCGGGGCCCCCCGGGTGAGGCAATACACCGCTTCGACCTCTGCTTCTCGTAGACGGGTGTCCTGGCTTGGCCCGACCAGGATGATTCAGTCAGTCGCCTCTTCTACCCTCTTCTTCCTTCTTTCACTTTTCCTCCCACCTCTTTCTTTTTTCTTCTACACTCTCTTCCTTCCTTTTTCACCTTCTTAGGCGGCAAGGGCCAACCTTGAGTGGAAACAGGTCCTTTCCCTGCAACCACACTAGGGTATAGTGCCCGGGCAGCACTGGTAGTGTAATTGTGTCAGCCAAGCCTTTCTTGCTATGGCACATTACCTACCCCCTTGTTGGGCTCCGTGGTGGGCGGTGCACCCGGGCACTGAATGTTCCTCCCCATGTCATGGGTTCTCGTGCAAAAACCTTCCTCGATCGGCCCCCGAAAAGGGGCCGCACCGAAGTTCCAACCACAGTCAACACACCATCTACTCCTGCTAGGTTCCCAAAGTTCTTGGTTCTGCACTCTGAAACTGAAAAACCACTATCAAAGTTTTCTCCCTTCCTTGTAGCCAAGATACTTGAATCTACTGTCGGAAAGAAATTCAAGGCCAAGAAATTGCCCTCTGGCGACCTGCTTGTTGAAATCGAATCAAGGCAGCAGAGTGCTGCCCTTGTTGCTTTAAGTTCCATATCTGACCAGAAAATCACAGTTACACCTTACCGCACCCTAAACACCATCCAGGGGGTCATTTCTGAGGATGACCTCCTTGACTCCTCAGACAGTGAAATAGTTGAGGGACTTTCCGACCAAGGCGTTGTAGCGGCAAGGCGTATCTCCTTGCGCCGCGACGGCCAAGAACGGAAAACAAGGCACATAGTTCTTACCTTTGAATCCACTACATTGCCAGAGGCTGTGAAGGCTGGGTACCTTCACTGTAGAGTCCGGCCCTACGTGCCAAATCCTCGCAGGTGTTTTAACTGCCAGAGATTTGGTCATGGATCCCAGAACTGCCGAGGAAAAGCCACTTGTGCGAAGTGCGGTCAGGCTAACCATCAAGCAGATACATGCTCTAACGACGCCAACTGTGTCAATTGCAACAATCCCCATCCTGCGTATTCCCGCTCTTGTAAAACTTGGAAAGATGAAAAAGCCATTCTTACCTTGAAAGTAAAAGAAAACCTCTCGTATCCAGAGGCACGCCGTCGCTTTGCGTTTTTGCAAAAAGGCGGCTTCGCGGAGGTGGTGCAGCGGGGGCCTGCACCACTGAAAGTTGCAGTGGCAACCCAGACGTCTTTTCCAGACAATGGGAAGCCACTGCAGTCCCCCACGCCCAAGCTGAAGATTCAGCTCCCTGGGCATGCACTTTCAGCAGGTCGGTCTCCCGACCATTCCAGCAAGAGTGCTAACTGCCCTGCACCTTCAGGGCAGCAGCCTCTCCGTTCTGGCGGAGAGTGTGCACAAGCTACCCCCCCTTCTCAGGATAGGCCGGCAGCTGCAGCTGTCGTGCCCGTCCGCACTCCGCGGTCCCCTTCCAGGGAAGGAAGTCGACGCTCTCGTCCGCACTCGTCGGAGAGAGCATCCTCTTCCAAGGAGCGGCATGTCTCTTCTGTCGCTCCTACATCGAAAAAGGGACAGGAACGGGTGGAGTCGGGCAGTGCACTGCCCGACACACCTGCTGCCTCTTCTGCTGGATCAGGTCGTGGCCGGGGCCTGCAGCCCCGCGCTCCGAGCCAACTCAAAGCTTTACCCAAAGCCCCGTCCCAAGAGGCGGAGGCAATGGATGACAGCAGTGAGGTGTCTGCGCCAGCGTCTGATCAAGACGACATGGACTGGCAGACAGCTAAATCTAAGCATAAGAGCAAAAAACCAGTAACCCCTCCAAAGTGACGTAGGACATTCTTTTTTGCCCTGCGCGGCAAAGTCAAGGTTTTACTTTTACTTGTCCTTTACTACTTTTACTTTCTTTTAACTGTGTTTTAGAATAATGTCTAAATTTACTTTTATGCAGTGGAACTGCCGCGGTCTTTTACGAAATATTGATGATGTCAATTTTTTCATGGACGAATTGCGTCCTATAGCTCTCTCCTTACAAGAGACACATCTTAATGATCATCATAATTCAGTGTTACGTCGCCATCAGCTTTTTAGAAAAGATCGCCCTTCATCAAATGCATCAGGTGGAGTAGCTGTGGCTGTTCAAAGTGGAGTCGCATGCTCGCAGGTTCCTCTTTGCACACCCCTTGAGGCAGTGGCTGTGCGCCTTCTTTTGGATCGCCTCATCACTGTTGTATCTATTTATATTCCACCAAACATTCCACTGCATCTTCATGATCTCCAAAGACTTGTTGCACAGCTTCCTCACCCTTTTTTGCTTTTGGGAGATTTTAATGCTCACCACCCCTTGTGGGGTAGCGCCCGCCAAGACTCACGTGGTGGAGTCCTTGAGCGGTTTTTATTAACATCTGGGCTGTGCCTCATGAATAAGAGAAAACCAACCTTTTTCAGTGCAGCTCACAATTCATTTACATCTATCGATCTTTCCATCTCATCCCCTTCAGTGTTTTCTTCATTTACATGGAAAGTCTTGGATAATCCTTTTGGAAGTGACCACTTTCCAATCATTCTGGAGAGTCTTGTTTCAGTTCCAAGCCTTATGAAACGTACCCCTCGGAAACTTGACAAGGCAGACTGGAGTCTATTCAACCTAAATGCAGAGCTTAAGCCTTCCATGTTCTTGTCCTTAACACACGATGAAGCCACCACATACATTACACAACAGATCACTAATGCCGCTTTTCGCTCGATCCCTCAAACCTCCTCTAGCATCCCCAAAAAGTGTAAACCATGGTGGAATGATGATTGTTCCAATACTAAGAAAAAACAGGACAAGGCATGGGGTATATTTCGCAGATATCCAACATTCATGAATTTGATAGAGTTTCAGCGAAATAGGGCCCAAGCTCGTTGGACCAGGAAACAGGCCAAGAGGAAGTCCTGGAGAGGCTATCTGTCCTCTATAAGCTGTTATGTCCCAGCAAAGGAAGTGTGGGACCGACTGCACAAGGTTGAAGGCAAATACTGATGCTTTACAGTACCTCTTTTTCCCTCTGTAAGCTCTTTACATGACCAGGCAAATGTGTTGGGTGCTCATTTTGCAGCCGTTTCAAACTCATCTCATTATTCTCCAGCGTTTCTGAAGTTTAAAACAGATGCGGAAAAAACGAAAGTCAGCTTGGCAGGAGGAGCCTCTGCACCGTATAATCAGCCGTTTACAATGGTTGAGCTTCAAATGGCTCTCAAAATCCGGAAGCATTCATCCCCCGGTCCTGATCGAATACATTATGAGATGATCCGCCATTTATCGGAGGAGTCACTCTCAGCCCTCCTGACATATTTCAATGAACTATGGAACAATGCACACTTCCCCGCCGATTGGAAGCAGGCAGAAATAATTCCGTTACTAAAGCCTGGAAAAGATCCTTCACTTCCTACAAGTTACAGACCGATTGCACTGACTACTTGCTTGGGTAAAACGTTTGAAAGGATGATTAATAAGCGTCTTGTTTATTTCCTGGAGCAACACAATATTTTGAATGTAAATCAATGTGGGTGTCGATCAGGACGTTCCACCATAGACCATTTAGTCCGGCTGGAGACTGTTGTACGAGAGGCGTTTGTGAATAGGCAGCATTGCGTATCTGTCTTTTTTGATTTGGAAAAGGCTTACGATACCACTTGGAGGCATGGCATCCTACGTGACTTGTTCATGTATGGAGTACGCGGCAGATTACTTCATTGTATAAAAAACTATCTTAGTGGACGTTTCTTCCGTGTACGGTTAGGCACGACAGTATCCAACAGCTTTCTCCAGGAGAATGGTGTTCCTCAGGGTGGAGTACTGAGTGTCACCCTCTTCGCCATAAAAATTAACTCTCTTTGTCGTGTCATACCTTCCTCAGTATCATATTCATTATACGTAGATGACATTCAAATTTCTGTAGCATCATGTAATATGTCTAGTTGTGAAAGGCAGCTACAACTAGCCATAAATAAAATGACTAAATGGGCTAACGAGAATGGTTTTAAGTTTTCTCCAGAAAAAACTATTTGTGTTCCATTTTCTTTACGGCGGGGTCTCTGGTTAGAGCCCTCTCTCATGTTAAATGGAAATACCATCGAAGTTAGAACTGAGCATAAGTTTCTGGGATTGATATTTGACAGTAAGCTTAGTTTTGTCTCCCATCTCAAACGGCTAAAGCAGAAATGTATGCAGACATTGAACATTCTTAAAGTCCTCTCACACAAGTCTTGGGGTTCTGATAGGAGGTGTCTACTTCGTTTGTACTTCTCTCTTGTACGATCGCGCCTTGATTATGGGTCTGTTGTGTTCGCGTCTGCTCGGCCGTCTGCCTTAAAAATGCTTGACCCTGTGCATCACCTTGGGTTGCGCCTTGCGACGGGTGCTTTCAGAACATCTCCTATTTTAAGCTTGTATGCTGACTCCAATGAAATGTCATTGGAAAAAAGGCGGCAGTATCTAAGTTTGGTTTATGCCTACAAGGTGTTATCAGAACCCAGCCATCCAGCCCACAATAGTATTCGAGAGTCTAAGTTTTATCGTACTTTCGAGCATAAACCAACTGTTATTCGACCCTTGAGCCTTCGTTTTGAGAGTCTCCGTATCTCCCTTAACCTGCCACGTGAGGGTGTCC